CCATTTCCTTCAGCAGTTACTTCTGCTAGCATTAATATAGTGTGATTCTTGTGGGGAATCGTGGTATTCAAAAAGTGTGCATGTTTCCCAGCAGAATTGTGCTTGTAGCAAGATTTTACTGGAAAACAAGGTGTGTGCCTCCCAGGAAGCCTATATTCCACTGACTTTCTGCTGTTTTTCCTGTTCCTAGTTTGTTGGCAGTGTTGGGAGGATATGCCCCCATGGCAATGCAATGAAACCCCTGTATACCAAGGGCATTGCCTGCCCCTTATTCATCATGTTGTCTAAGCCAAGGATGCTGCTCTATTATTGCCAAATAAACCATGAGTTATATATAAGAACAAACTCTGGGTTTTGATCCTCGCTTGTAACAGGAGTGAGAAACTGGGAACCTTCTTTTGATGTCTTTACTGATTTGTTCAGTTGGTCATACAAGCAGAGGAAACAAGCAGGATCAAATGAATTGTGCATGCAGTATACAATTATTTTATAAAAAGACAGGCTTCTCCGGAATAGTGGTTTAGTGCTCTGTGCGAAATGAGAACACTTTGTATAAACATCTAATAACAATTATAATTTTAAAACATCTACCAGTATTCATTTTAGAGAGTTCGGAACCATAACAAAGAGTAGCTGAAATTAGAAATTAACAATACCATTTTGTGTATGTATTTAATTACGAATGTGTCCCATTAAATTCATTAGGGCTTCTGCCAGGTACATGTGCATAGGATTGCGACCTGTGCTTCATAAAACAATGCGGAAAGCAAAATGCAAGGAAATTAGGATGGCAGTCATTTTGTATCACATCATTTTGTATTTAACTTAAACACATTTCAGTCAATGTGATATTTCTTGGTTACAAACTATTTGCTTTGGAAATACTTTGCTCAATGCCTTTTTAAAAATATATTCCACTATTGAATTTGGAAAGGCTTTAAATGGGTTTCAACTAGTTAATGCTTGAGTATTTAAAATATATGATTATCCAGTGTGAATTTTGAAGGAACTTACCAAAAAAGCCATTAGGCATTATTGTGTAATATCATATTCTCTGTGGGTATAATTACCAAAGTGGGGAAAAATACATGACTGCATAGAACCACCTTTTTGAAAGTCTTTATTCCCAAACTAACAGAATTGATGTTTTTTTACCCCTTTTGTCATGATAATTTTCCAGAGTAACTCTACTTCTTGTAACTCTCCTAGCATAACCTAAGAGATTAGACTTACAGTCAAAATGAGCAGGCTGACATTTTCAAGGTCATTTTCTATATGTAGTGTGGGGGGTACGTGATTGGATTTCAAATACACAAGAATAAATCACAGTGGGGAGAAACAGAGGGACACCGAAACCTTGTGCTGCTTTCTGTTATTGAATGTCTTAGCAGGGGGGCGAGTCTGGAAAAAAAAATGAAATGTAGAAGCACAGAATATCTGACTTATTTGATTTGTTTCTGAATAACTGTTGTGTTAAAAAGTTTCCAAGCCTAAGACTTAGAAAGATTCTCCCTCAGACGATTACAGTGAAATTGATTGGGCCATGGTACTTGCAATGAAAGTGTGTTGCTGGATTTTCTTTCCGATGTATCACTGACTAATCAGACTGGTGATTTTAGGTTGCTACGGCTCTTTAAATCTATTTTAATTCTTTTTGTGTGTGTTTGCACACATTTGGATTCTGATTTTCTTAAAAATACATTTTTGTGTGGTTTTTCTAAAATAGTCCTGTTCAGGTCTATCACCTGGATTAGAAATACGAAAATAGAAATGTGGTAAGCTTTATAATACTGAAATTGCAGCTAAAAAAAGGAGAAGGTACTTAATTCTAAATTACATCAGTATGACAGCAGATGTTTAAGCTGTGGCTTTCTTCTGTGAAACATATGCCTGAATGAGATTGCTTGTATATGGTTTAAATCTAGGTAGCTAAAGACTTGAGAAAGAATCCACATACATTTCAGTTTGTAGGAGGATGTCGTGACATCTGTGCTTATAGAAGATGTAAGTGTACTTGTCAGACACAACTGTGGCTTTATGAAATAGGAACTGGCAGTGGTATTTGCTTTGTAAAAGCTTCTTTAGCGTAAAATAAAACCCAAGTCTTTGAAGTTTGTTGCAGAATTGTAACTTATTTGTTACTTGGTGTGGATAATGTTCTGTGGAGAATCATAACAAATGTTTTATCAGGCTATCTCAAAAAAGAAACATACCACAGTAATTAGTAATTTGACTTTCCTGTTGAGAACATGTTGTTTGCTGCGATACAGATCTTTCTTTTCAAGCTGACACGTGGGTAACTATGTGTTCTTGTAATTTATTTACAACTGCATTTTAATGCCCCTTTGTCTACCACCCAAGACGTTTTGTAACATTTATGTGCATTGGCTAAGTATTTTGTATTTCCTCTCTCTCTTATCAGCTTGTCACTGACCCCAGCACATGTAGAATTGTGGCTTTGGAAGGAATGTGGTGGTAAAGAATGTGAAGTCTGCTTTAATAATATGTAAAAGATACGGCTAGGATCCTGCAAACTACTGCAAGTGTGCCGTAGGGCTTAGGCATGGCCGGCATTGATCTATTTTTAATCTTTTTAATTTAAAAAAAAATCTTTTTCAATATCACTCTTCTCAGTTTCCAAAGAATGCTGTACGACAAGGGGCCAGAAAGGGGAGCTATGGTGAGAAAACCTCAAGTCCATATAGCCAGTGTGCAGAGATGGTCATTGTTTCACTGGATCCCAGCCAATCTCCTTATAAAGCCCTTTACATGGTTGTGGTGTATACGAAGCCAGACCGCTACAGGGCTGCAGTTGAGTTTCTGGATCAAATTTTCAAAACAAATAAAGAAACAATGCTACCAATAAGCAAGAGAAATTGTACTCTCAAAGGCTCAGAGCACAGACAGAGTTCAAAACAAATAAAGAAACAATGCTACCAAGTAAGTAAGAGAAATTGTACTCTCGAAGGCTCAGAGCACAGACTCCTGTCCTCTGAAGATGCTGACCACAGAGACTAGAGAAACGTTAGGAAGAACAACCTTCAGAACATGGCCAAAGAGCCTGAAAAACCCACAACAACCAAGAGAAATTGTGTTTTGCAGAAACTCAGTTAAGTAATTGATGGTGGTTACAGATTCCTGTAAAAAGCTCCTGTATATTTTCCTGCTTGCCTACCATCCAATTGCCATAATATGTTGTTGGTAGAAATTAAATTGCCCATGAGCACAATGCTAGTATATCATTTTGTGAGTGGAACAGATTTTAAAGATTCTGAATTGCTGATCTTCTGTACTTTCCCCCCTCAATATCAGTGAAGGCCCATAATATAATATAAAGACTCTGTCTTTATACAGACCCTACCCAGCTCCTGTAATAGTTCATAAAATCGTAGAGGTGTATGTGGTCTCTTTCTTCCACATCCCAGTATTTTTTCCTTTTGTTTTATTACAGCCTCTAGACCTCGTCAGCTACCCAAGGGAAAAAATTGAAATGCCAAATGTATTGTGTGTTTACCCCCCCTTTCCTGTGTAATACTATATGATTTCTTGGGTTTAGGCCAGTATAGCATATTGAGGGCATTTTTATTACTGTTCTTCATATTGCTTTCTTTCCTTTCTAGAGTAATTTCAGTCTTCAAATAAAATTTGTTTTACTTCTGCTTTCACTTCTGTTTCTTTTCTACTTTTACTCCCAAGAGATAGATATTTGGGAGTAAAAAGAAGAGAGAACCTGAAAAACATTGTCAGAGTCAGGCAGTGTTAATGTTTTGCACATGGCGGTAAAGTATGAATGTGTATGAATGGGCACAGGCAGCCATTTGCTAAATTGGTGTAATAGAAAGTTACAATCTTTCCTGTTCTTCAAGATATTCCACCAGTATTTTCTTTAGATATTATAAAGTGAAAATTCCTCATGGATCAGAAATAGGAAAGATAGGTTTACTTCAGATGAACCCCACAAATCATGGCTTGGAGAATTGGAGACAAGTTGTCTATATATCCTCCCATCTATCATCTCAGGATAGGATATAGTCGTTGGCTAATACACGTACCTTTCCCTCTTCACTTTCTTTTTAGCATTGACCATAGTATGCTGTGCCAAAATGTGATTAATCTTTATCTATGATTGTTGTAATATTGTTGTAAACAATTATGTACTGTACTGATCTATTATTGATTTGCTATGTAATGAATTTAATGGTTGTATCAGTATCTTTTTGAACCAACTTTGAATGCTGTAATAGCAGAAAAAAGAGATGCTTAAATAAATGTGATTTGACTTAATTCCTAATCAGAATGAGAAAACTATTCCCAATAGTATTTTATAATTTTTGGGATCTATGGAGGGCGCATCCTAGCAATATGTCGCCAACTTGAATATTGTGGCAGACCTATAGATACCACTAATCAAACTAAGAGGAAAGCCATACATGGAGTGTTAAGTAAGAGTGTTATGGTGACTGTGTAATAATATAATAATAACAACTGTGTGCTGTCACGTCCATTCTGACACTTTTCAAGGTTTTCTAGATAGAAGTGGTTTCTCATTCCCTTCGGGGGGGATTCTGGGATAGTGCATCTGGCTCAAGACCACACAAGCTGGCTCTTCTGGGATGCACAGGGAGTAACTAAAGTCCCAGTCTCTGCTTCTGCAACCAGACTCCTAGCTCACTGGGGTTCAAATATATAGATAACAGCTATGAATGCGGTTTTGTTTCTATAAGAGGAGACAGATGCTTGATCATCATCACAAAGTGCTGCTTTTACCTGTTACATCATAAATGATCAGGTGAGTTACATATTTTCAGCTATCTTGTGATTTAAGGTCCGCATTCTTTTTTTCTTTTCTTTCAACAGTATGCAAGTGTTGAGAAAAATGGTGAATTTTTTATGTCTCCTAATGACTTTGTCACACGATTCCTGAAGATAATAGGAGATGGGGTACCCAATCCCAACACAGTCCAGCTGCTGGGAGGAGTGGTGGATCAAACAAAAGATGGGTATGTACTACAGCATTTATTTAAATTACTTATCTAGGGAAGTAGAATTAGAAGATTCACACAATAAGCTGAGTCTTCCTCTTCACTTAGAAGATATATGAAAAAGATAATGTGCCATCATCAGTCCTTCATCACTTTTCCCTTCAACAGGAATTGGTTCTTCAGCATCTCTGAATTATATGAAGAGAATAAAGTAGTTTTAAAAATATATTTCACATGATACTATGCCAAATACATAAAGGATTAGAATATTCATGTACTTTGTACTACATTTTATAACAGGATTTTTTAACTGAGTGCTCCATATTCTGAAGTTGCACTTTCTAACTGGTACAGGCTTGGCAAATTGAAAGATTCAAAAAAGTTTTGGAAATGAAGTATAAATGTAGGGTGCGTTAGGTAGTAGAAGGAGGGGTATCCTAAAAAAACCCTAGTTTGGATTTAATGTAATGATATCCAGAGGGGTAGCTCTTTTGGTCTGCCAAAGCAAAGTCAGCCATTAAGGTGTAAGTCCTTTGAAAATTAACCACATTATTATGGCAGAAGCTTTTTTGGACGACAGTGCATCTGACAAAATAGGCCCTTCTTTCTCCAGAACTATATCATATGGTCCCACAGATTAATAGTGTTGGTCACCTTCTTCCACACTTGTAAAAGGGGGACTGCAAGAATTCATAGAGGGGAACTGCTGGATAGCTCTACGTAAGATGAATTCATGGCAGTTGTGGCCATCAGTTACTGTATGTTCCCTCCAGTATGAAAAGTAATATGTTTCGGGAGACAAATTGGTGACCCATGTGAGCACATGTGGTTGGTCTTTTGCTTCTGGTCAGCCTCTGCCAACAGAATTCTGAACTGAACAGGACTTTGATGTCACCCAGCAGAAGCTCTTCTAATATTATTTATTTCGTAGAAGTTTGCGCCACAATGAATGTGCAGTTCTTCAAGGTGCCACAAGATTGTTTGTTTTTTACTATGACTTACTAGAATATTGAAACTAAACAAAATATATTGAACAGTCCAGAACCCTTTATAGTGCAATTGTTGGGTTTTGTTTGCTTTTCCCCCCCAATAAAATGGGGGTGTAAGTAGAATAACGTACTGTACTACCTGAACTCAACTGATCTTTTTTGGTTTAGGAAATTAAGCAGGGTCATGCCTGGACAGGAGACCACCATAGAATGCCAGAGACTACATAAGGAGGCTAACACAATCGTAGAATGAGAACTTTACATGCAGCAGATCCCATTATCAATCTCCAGGCAGGGCTGAGAGGGGGAATCTTGGGGAGCTGCTGCTAATCAGAGTTAACGACACTGGGTTAGATAGACTAATGACCTAACTGTGTATAAGTCCGCTTTTTACATTTCTAATACTAACTAAAAACAGATATTGTCTTTATTATATTATACAAACCATTAAGAAAGTTTTGGGAAGAGTTTGTGATTTATGGTGACTAACTGTCTAGCTAGTTCCTGTGGTTTATGTTTCATTTAGAAAACGTGTCCATTACTGGACATTTCCAGTATTTCCAGCCATTCTTTGTTTTATAATTTTTCTTGGTTATTAATGAGGTATAAAAGGGATATCCGACTACATTATTCTTAAATGATAAAATGGTAGTTGGCCTAACCTAAGAACTGGCTTTGGACACTTGATGTGAGTGTTGACTTCTGTAGAGAAAAAAGGCCATACAAACAACCATACGTACTGAATCCAACTAGCAGCCTCTGCAGTCTAGCCTTCTATTTGTGCAGTGACCAACTTGTGGCCTGTGAGAAAGGCTACAAGCGGCAGATGAGTATAACAGCACCTTCCTGCTCATAAGATCCAGTAGAGATATACAAAGGGACATACTGTTTCTTGTACTGGAGACAATATCTATCTATCATACAGTGGCCATTGAATGTATCTGATTTTTTACAACGTCTCTCTATCAATTTTGTCCGTACCATTTATCATTTTATACACCTGTATCCTAAGTCCCCTTACTCGCTATTGTTCTAAGAAACTGCCCCAAACATCTTAATCTATACCCAAACAGTTTCCTGATGGAGGAGCAGTTCAAGCCCTTTAATTATTTTGTTCCCTTTTCTGCATGTCTTCCAAGCTTGTAATATTCTTTTTCATTTGCAATAACTGTATACATTATTTCTAGTGTAATTACACTTGCAAGGGTTTTTAAAATAAGGGCAGTGCTATTCACAATTTTATGTTCAAGACTGAGTCTGCCTTCAAAACAAACACTTTGTTGTTTTTATAGGGCTGTCCATTGTAGCCCCGACATCCCTTTCTTGGTCAGTTGTCTGTTCAGAACTTACCATTTTTAATCTGAATTTAGGATCACACCTCATTTTAAACTAGCTTAGATGGAATCCTGTTTGCCATTTGCATGCCCATTCCCCAGTCTGAAGAGATCCTTTTGAAATGTTTTGTAGTCTATTTTTGTCCTACCTATCTTGAATAATGCAGTTAATTAGTGAACCACCTTGATATTCACCCCTAAATTCGGATAATGTATGAACAAGTTAAAAGGCACCAATGCTGATAGAGACACCTGGGTGAGCCCACTGTTCATATCTTCCCCTTATAAGAGCTGAAAATTTATTCCTACTCTTTTGCTTCCTCATCTTTCACTAATTTCACGTTCATTGTACGTACTTTGAATTCTGACCTTATAGTGTAACTGGTAAGCTTGCTCAGGAGTCTTTGGTTAGGGAGTTTGTCAGAAAACTTCTGGAAGTCCATGTAGATGTTGTCTTCCAGATCATTCCCTTCCACATGTAGAACTCTAAATGTTTAATGATACTGTTCTCACCTTCACAGAAGCCATGCTTATTTTTCAGCATTGTACAAACGTTCGACCATTTATGGTTTTTAACACTCTCCACCTGTAACAGCAATTAAGTTAACCAGAATATAATTTCCTGGAAAGCCTCCTCCCAGATCCTTTTTAAAAAATGAAACTATATTACAGAAGTTTACCTGAAGGACAGTTTGCGTATTTTAATCAGAAGCTTCACATTTGAGTTCATTAAGAACTTTTGGATGGATACTATATGGGTCCAAGATTTGTTTCTTTTCAGTCAGACAATAAGGTATAAAATCTCTTCTCTTTTCACTGCTATTTGCCTCAACTTCTCATTTTCCAATTCTGCAAATATTAGTTCAGCCTAAGTGTATAATAATATAATCATGTGCTGTCAAGTCAGTTCTGACTTATGGCAACCCTTTTCAGGGTTTTCTATGTAGAGATTACTCAGAAGTGGTTTACTAGTTGTATGCCTTAGTTAAAAGAATTCATTTCGTTTCTGTGTGTTCTATTTATCATCCTTTAATACTCTTAATTCTTTTGTCAACCAGTGTCCCAACTCTCTCCCTCATTGGTTTCCTACACCTAATGCAGTCAAAGAGCCCTTTATTGCTTGTCTTGATGCTCTTCAACATAACTTTTTTCATCAGTTCCTTGTGGCTTTTGTTTCCGTTGAACAAACCAATGTTCCTTTTTGTTTGCCTTGCTTGGGCAAGACTTTTGAGTTTCTGATGGAAACTTCCTCCGCTGTAATGGCTTCAGATATACTGCTTGGTCACCATGCTGATGACCTGCTTTGCGATATATATTCTCTGGACAAGGGAATCATCCCAAGCATTTTGGAAAGTCTTGGCATCCATTTCATAGTCCCTTTTCTGAGGCTTTGTAGGACAGATACTGTTCTGGAGGAAAATATTTCAGAAAATGAGAGGTATCCATGATTCGCTTTGGTTTGTTGTCATTATATGGTTATTTTGTGACACTTAGATCCAGGTACCCCTGTCTGAGTCATTTAGGCTGATAACTGAAATGCTGGAGCCAAGTGAACATTGCTCATGTGTACATGCAAACATAGATGTGTTGTGTGGTTTTTGTGGGGGGAGTTTATCTTATTTTTATTTATTTACAAGATTTTTTAGCTGTGCTATTACCAGTAGTCTCTGAGCAGCGTACAACAATATGAAAACTTTAAAACATTAAAACTATTAAAAATAAGCAATATTATAATAATATCCTATATTAAAAACAATCATTAAAACATTAATATCAATAAATCCTGCTGCTCACATGGCCAGCTAAAGAATACTATTTAATTAAAATGCTGGCTAAACAGAAAGGGCTTTGCCTGGCGCCAAAAAACCAAAAGTGTTGGAGCCAGGTGGATCTCTATAGGGAGGACATGCCAAAGTTGGGGGACAATAGCCGAGTTGTGTATGTGTGATTCTTTGCTTAATTTTTATCTAGTTTGTTCACTTCTGTGTGGGACAAAAGTAACATTTCTAGTTGTTTGCATGTTCAGTGGATGAATACTGAAGCATTTAGTTTGTCGATTTTCAGAGGGGGTAGATTGGTGAGTTCTGAGATTTCACGATGACCATTAAGCGTGCCTTTCACTATCCCGCATATGAGCTCTAAGGATTCCCCCCCCCTTTGCAAATTGCCTTCTTAACAATCCAACCAGCTTCCTCCAACAATCCATACCTCTTTTTTCTCCCTACAATTAAATTCTGTCCAATAAAATATGCAATTTCTGCCAATCATAGCTTGGATTCCAGTAAGTAACTCAAAATACTATATAGCTTTTATTTTTAGAAAGTGTAAACAGTTCAAAATAATGCTTCGAAATGCCAGCATTTCCCATTATTATTGATTTATCTCTAATCTACCATTTTTCAGAACAGGTTGTTTGTCTAAGATTGAAACATTAAATAATAGGCATAGCTTACCCTGTGTCCCATTATGCTGTTATGGTTAAATTGCTGATTTTAGTAAACTATTGTGGCTTTTGTATTTATTATACAATGATGAGGATAATGATTAGTATTGCTAAACATACAAAAGAATGGATGTGTGTTGTAGGGAGGGGGCTAGAATTCAAAGGCATGTGCCTTGAATATTTTTTATACTGGAAGTTAATAGTAGTTAGGCAATTAAGGCTGTATTCCTGTGCTCACCTGGAGTCGGAATT